TTACAGCGCCCTCTCGCGTGTGTAGTCAGCAACTTGAGAGCGCGGGAAGCGCTCCTTTCTGATCATTTTTTATTGCCACTAGCTCTAAACAGTTTAATATGTTTCTAGTGGAAATAAAATTATGGTAAACAGTCTCCTGATCACATACCGAAGAGTTACATACTAATTAATCCATGTATTAAATACAAAAATAACAATTTTGAATTACTTTATTAACTATACAGTATATCAATCCAATCCATAATAGTTACCTACAATGAATAAATTTTTTTGATTGTAAACGTTTTGCAGGAATAAAATCACCTAAATAGAAAGAAAAGTTACAGTGGTAAAACTACAGGAGATAAAATCCCAATTTCGGTATAATGTAGGGATCGAAGCATACCTGCTCATCATTTATGGGAATTCGATGCATTTTTACTCTGTTCCCTCGGCTTTCACACATTGCCACACAACAAGATAAAACCATTTTGCTTTGAACGGAGAAAATTTTCAATCTCTGATTCAAATTATTGAATAAAAATGGAATATGTCAAAATTTGTCAAAATATGATGAAAAAGTGGAAGTGAAGCGACGCTGCCACATGTCAAAAGCATGGGATATTTCTTTTGGAAAAGAAATGTAATTTCAAATCGTGCTATAACTGGCAATTATATGTTAGCGAGGCACACGACTTTTTTTCCATTGTTGGAAGCTTTTTAAAACAAATGGACTGTACTTTTTATGTATAAATCTGACAACAGCACTGGACGACAGCGCCTCTGCCGTCTGTAGTCGCAAGCTTTTAGCGGAACAAATTGCGCCATAAGAGTTGCACATGCATGGACCCATCGGACCGGGCCCAAATTTGGGCTCAATAAAGCCTGCCTCATCTATTGTTTGCCCAGCGGATCTGAGTCTACGGCAGGAATTCGGATGTAAATGCGCCATATTGCCACGTTTAATTATAAAAAAGTGAAAATTCTAGACATGAAGTATAGTTCATTTGAAAATCCATTTTTTAATAACAAAATATTGATAACAATAATAAAACGCTAAATATTTCATCGTGGTTGTTAGATCTATTCTTATTTCTCCTGATTTCTTCAATTTGATCTATTGTAAAAAATAAACATTTTCTAAATATACCATCCGCTTTTGATAATTTGGCAAGCATCCGGCCTGGATGAACCTGATTGGTAGAGTTTTTGGCAGGATCGCCGTTGGCATGGGAAACCATACGATTGTCAATGAGCCAACGTCACCTTATGTCTCGCTATTGGCCAGGCCTGACGTCATTTTATCCTCCCATCTTGGAATATCAATTTATATTGAAATATCCAGTGGCGGAGGTTTGGTCATTGTCAATTTTCGTGTACGAGTTGCAATACGATAACACTTCCAAAAAGTTCCGCACGCAGCTGGGTATTTTATAGTGTTTCACAAGATTCTTGCAAATTTCTTGTTCTTGTCTTGTTCTTGCTGCAAGAACAAGACAAGACTCTCTTAAATTTCTTGTCTTGCAAAGCAAGACAAGACAATAAGTTGCCAAGCAAGACAAGAAATTATTCTGCAAGACTCTTGCAATCTTGCAAGAAATCTTGCAAAAGAATGAAGCCTCCTTCTCTGCATATTTTTGAATTATTTTGGCAAGGTTGCAGCATTTAACAACGAGATAAAAATGTCAGCATATCAGTTTGTAAAGTTTAAGGCATTTTTTTGCGACAAAACGTTTTGAAATTGTAGTTTTGAAACACTCAAACAGATGTCAGTTTCTAACAGTTCTTGCAGCAAGTATGGCTAGGAACATTTTTGGTCATGATGGACGACACTGCACACACAATATTGAATGTTAAGCTCAATATGAAGGCCTTTCCGTTTTCAACCATCAAAGAATCAAGTTGAATTTTTTTTAAGGTCTGTTAGCATTGTAGTGCATAAAATAGTGACGTTAGAGCTGAAACTGTTTTAAAAGTGTTTTTGAAACTGTTTCCTCGAAAAAAATAGCTATTTATACAATAAGTTACGAAATGAGCGTCTTTTAGGCACGCGACGTGAAAATTGTCCAACGAGGCAAAGCCGAGTTGGACAACACGTCGAGTAACTAAAAGACACCGTTTCGTAACGTATTGTATACAAGATTTTTTCTACTGGCATTTTATAATAAAAAAACACAATTTTATTTCATGTGAATAAGTCGATTACACCCAAAATCTTTGTTACCTGCTTTTACTTGACACCTGACACTTTTCATGCGATTTTCTTTTCAAAATTCGACATCAATAATTAAAATCCTAGAAAGTAGGTAATAACACAAAGTTCTGTTTTGAGTAACCCAAACGTTCAATTCAGTAATTCAATTTTCAATATTCATAATAAATACAAAACAAAATTCAAATATGTGTTTAGTGTGTTTTTTATTTCTGAATAATGAATGACACTTTTAGGCACTAGTGCTTAAAAATTACTTTTACGCACTCATAAGTCACTTTTACGCATTCAAAAGTCACTTTTACGCACTGAGTGCCTAAAAGTAACTTTCACGCACTCAGTGCCTAAAAGAATGTCGTTTCAAAACTGAAATGACAATCGAAAAGTTGCTATTATGAAACGTCAGTAGAAAAAAAACTTTAAACCAGGAAACAGGACAACCACGTTATCAATGACAATGAGGCCTATGATGTATCCTCTCCTGTTATTTTAACAGCTATGTTATAGCTCAACATCTATGCCTCTCTCTATTTTGACGTATATAATAAACAGTGACAGACAACTTAACGTTGCTGTTAAAATAACAGAATATGATACATCATAGGCCTGAATGACACCAATCATATTCTTAAGGGCCCCACAGACTAATGATGAAACACGGTTTCATAACCGAAGTGTGTGGAAGAAAACCGTCGTGTTTTTCTATCACACACGCCTCCGACGCGCTTTTGAACGTAATGAATGAAGCAAGAGTCTTGCAGCAAGAATCTTGCAACAAGACTCTTGCAAGCAAGACTCTGGCTATGACGTCACAAAACAAATAATGCAAGAACAAGAAATTGCAAGAAATCTTGTTTGCAAGACAAGATTTTTTTCTGCAAGAGTCGGGCAAGACAAGAATGAATTTCATTTCTTGTCTTGCTTTGCAAGACAAGACAAGAATAGGCCCAGCAAGACAAGAAATCTTGTCTTCTGAAACACTAGTATTTTATGAATGAAATCAGCCATTTTTTTTACAACTGCATTCCCCTCACCGTTGCCCCGTAGACACAGATTCGCTGGGCAGACATTACTATGTATGTGTAAAAAATTAATTTTCTAGCATGAAAATTAGAATTTTTTACGAAAATCTCTTTTTTGGGGGGAAAAAAATCATTTCTCGAAGACAAAAAAAAGCCCTATTTTTGCACTAAATATTGTTTATAAAATCCCCTAAAAGTAATTAGATGTTGTATTTTTGATTTTTAGCATGTATAAATGATCCTTAACAATACTGCATCGATAGTTTGCTGTTAAATTTTATGTTACGAAAAAATGTATCCGCCCTGGCCTAATAATTTATTCCACGTAACAATACACTCTGACACTAATTACTTTAATAACCAATTAAACTCTTTACAAAAATAATCACTATTTAAATCGTATCACAGTCGAACTGAAACTTAAACTTACAAGCTAAAACCCGTCCTCATACAGGGTGTCCCACGGTGGATGGCATATTAGACGTTTATGGAGAACTAAAAAGCGGATCATTTTGAAAATTTGGCAACCGGGATAAACGACCATGATCTACACTTTAAAAATATTTTTGACCATGCGGTGTTGCCGCTTTTACTCTAAACTAGTGGCAACATCACTAATTTAAATGGAACACCCCGTATTAAATTGCATATTTGGATTCTACATAAAATTCTGAGCAGATTTCAGGTGATATACCCTATACCTAAGTTCAACTGTTTTGGAAATATTGACAGTTGAAAATTGACTTTTTGCAACTTTGACAGGCTGTAAAACCTAATTGGTTAATTTTAGAGGAAAACCGATTTCACATTCCTGTCTTAGATTTTGATAAACTATCATTTGACACCAACTTTGAACTTAACCGGAGATTAAATTTAACTGAAATTTTTAATCATGGATTTAATTCAAAGATGGTGTCAAATGATAGTTTATAAAAATCTAAGATAGGAATGTAAAATCGGTTTTCCTCTAAAATTAACCGTTCAGGTTCTACAGCCTGTCAAAGTTGCAAAAAGTCAATTTTCAACTGTCAATATTTCCAAAACAGTTGAACTTAGGTATTTTTATCTCGCTTATCTGCTCAGAATTTTACGTAGAATCCAAATATGCAATTTAATACGGGGTGTTTCGTTTAAAATAGTGATGTTGCCACTAGTTTAGAGTAGAAGCGGCAACACCGCATGGTCAAAAATATTTTTAAAGTGTAGATCATGGTCGTTTATCCCGGTTGCCAAATTTTCAAAATGATCCGCTTTTTAGTTCTCCATAAACGTCTAATACGCCATCCACCGTGGGACACCCTGTAAATAGCCGTAATTTTTTCCTGTAAATTCCAGAAGAACCGCGATCGAAGTTGTTCCCGAACATCACGTAAAATCTCGAATCTGCTATGCGATTCTTGACACACTGGCGGCCGTTGCAATATGTATCACAGGGGATATCAATGTTCAGCTTGATACTGGAACCAACAGAATTCTTAGTTGCCTAGTTTTTCCATTTTTCAAATTAACCTTCATTTGATTAGTTGAATGAAATGTTTTCAAATTGACTGAGTGAAGTTAAATTGCCGCCAATGTTTTTAAACCTTGTTTCATTGAACTATTTTCTTTGGGGGTACAAACAGTATCAGAATAGATGATTTAAAAGACAGAACAAGAATGGAATTCAATAATATAGATTTGCGCATAATCTGTGCCTGCATGGTTCGAAAATAACTATTTCCTTAAAATTTTCGCTTTGAAAATGATAATAAAACATAAATAAATAAATACTAATTTCACTCAATTACCTTTGTAGATCATTATTACTCAGAAACAACTTGACCAAACTGTTCAATTCTCCACACCCAAGTAATTTTCTCAATCTATTCCGTCTCAAATTCAATTCCTGCAATGAATCGAGACCCTGCAAGTCCTTGACTCCCACGACTCGGATTTGATTTCCAGCCAGATTTAGGACTTTCAATTCGGAAAGATTGGCCAAACCTGTCACTTGCCCTATCTGATTACCGTGCAAATCTAATACTTCTAGTTTCTTCAGGGATTCTAAACCTTCGATTTTTTTTATTCTATGAATGTAAAAGAATGATACTTTTAATTGAGGATTTCTTTGGTAATTAAAATTAACTTACCTATTTTTACCCATAAGTAAGACTCTTAAATTTTCCAATATATCTAAAGGTTTAATTTGTTCTAGCTGATTATCATATACATCTAAGAATACCAGTGTAGGAAATTTTTGCTTACATAACATTTCTAAATCAATTATCAAATTGTGTTGTAATGATAATAATCTTAACCTGAAACAAACAAAAAAACAAATTTTAAATAACTGAAAAACGGGATTCATGTTTTAAACTATCTAAGTACATATTCTTAAACCTATTGAATAAAATTTTTGAAAATTTGACAGTCAATGTGGCTATAATATTTTCAAGATGATCGCACTTTCTGGTTATACCGGAAGTAGACCTCAAGTTGCTTATTTTAAATGAGATACCCTGTATGACTGAATATTTAGATTCTACGTAAAATTCTAAGCAGATTTCATACTATAAAGCATTGACAGTTGAAAATTGACTTTTTTGCAACTTTGACAGGCTGTAAAACCTAAACGGTTAATTTTTGAGGAAAACAGATCTCACATTTTCATCAACTATCATTTGACACCAATTTTTAATTTAACCGGATATTAAATTTAGCCGGAATTTTTATTCATGGAATTGGTTCGCGAGTTCCAATAATATATCCTTCCTTTATTTTTACTGTTTCAGTGTGATTGTCACTGCTCACACTGCTCACACTAACTGTCCTAGTGTTCACTATAGTGTTCACACTAGTATCCGCGCACTATTCTGCAATCGGATTTCACTTTGCCAGTCCTCGAGTTATGTCTCACTTCTGACATCAATGTCACGGCTATGGCTTGCGTGACAGAAATCTTGGGTCTGTTTATTCCAAAATCAAAGTCCAATTAACACAGCAATAATTTATTCTACGTCACTATACACTCTGACACTAATTACTTCACTAATTAACTCAAACAACTTTACTCTTCACAACTCTTAACAATATTCACTATCTAAATCGTATAGCATCCAAACTTGAACTTAAAAACTACAAACTAATACCGGCGTTTATATATCCGCAATCTATTCGTGTAGATTCCAAAATAACCGCGATAACTTTCCTTCCCGAAAAGCACCGCAACAATCTAGAATCAGCTGTCCAATTCTGTACACCCTGACGCTTCCGCCAGATTGCCGCGACAATATGTTATATACAGGGTGACACAAGGAAGAGGGAACAACCTATAACTTTTTTAATGTATAAGTTGAAAATTTGAAATTTGGGAAGCTTAAACAAGGCAACTTTTTTCTGAGTTTTTTAGGAGAAAATTGCGTTACCAGTCACTTCCGGTTTAACCGGAAGTGGCCACAAGTTTTGATTCTCGAATGAGACACCCGGTATTTTTTAAGTTTTCTGGCATCAACAGATCATTTAATGTATGTTAGGACCATTTTTGAAAAATTTATAACAAAAAAAAAAAAAAAAACGGCGCTGCCACTGGTGTAAATTGATTTAGTTGGATATTCTAATTACATATCAGGAAAATTTTGTAACAACAATTTTTCTCTAAGTGAAAGCCATAATTTCAGTTCCAAATTAAACAAAGAGGTTTTTTTTCAAAGTATCCCATATTTTTTAAACGTAACCAAGCCGGGACTTATCAGTTTTTTTGAAACTAGATTTTTTTCCCTATTTTTTGAAATCAACATTTTTAAAATCCGCTGAGAAATAACCAGTTTTTGTTTTTCTAAAAATTAGTGCAATTTGTTTTTTTTTTTTTTTTTTGTTATAAATCTTTCAAAAATGGTCCTATCATAATGTAAAATGACCTGCTGATGCCAGAAAACTTAAAAAATACCGAATGTCCCATTTGAAAATTAGAAGTTATGGCGGAAGTGACTGGTAAAGCAATTTACTTCTGAAAAACTGAAAAAGTCGCCTCGTTTAAGGTCCCCAAATTTCAAATTTTCAACTAGTGTATTAAAAAAGTTATAGGTTGCTCCCTATTCTTTGTGTCACCCTGTACTAGGAGGGTCATGTGATGCATCATTTTGGAGGGTTTTTATTTCCATAGATTTTGGTACTAAATTTTAATTCCTAAGTTCAACTGTTTTTAAAATATTGACAGTCGAAAATTGACTTTTTTGCTACTTTGACAAGCTGTAAAACCTAAATGGTTAATTTTAGAGGGAAACCAATCTTACATTCTCATCTTAGATTTCCATAAACTCATCATCATTTGAAATAGGATAGAGATGGCTGGTAACAAACAAAAGGCATCATGGAGAATTGTTAATAACTTAAAAGGAAAAAAGAATACTTTACCAATGGACTCAAATTTGACTGCCATGCCACGAAAATTAATAAATTTTATTGTTTGATTGCGGCTTCTCTTTGTAGCAAAATTAGTTCTGGAACTAACCCTAGAGAATATCTAAGTCACATAAGCGTATCCGAGTCTTTTTTCTTTAAACCCACTACAACACAAGAAATTAGAGACACCTTAAAACATATTAAAAATAAAAATTCTGCGGGATGGGATGAGATTACGCTGAAGGTCTTTTTGCATTTGCCCGAATCAGTTCTAGAGGTGTTTGCTGATGCTGTGAATCAGTCCTTTCAATCAGGTATTTTCCCTTCCTGTCTGAAACTTGCAAAGGTCTTACCTCTTTACAAGGGTGGTGACTGCGATACACCCTCAAGTTTTAGGCCAATTTCTTTGTTGCCTACAATGTCTAAAATAATATAAAAGCTAGTCAAGGCGCGTTTAATGAGTTTTCTTAAAAAACATAGTATTCTCTGTTGTGAACAGTTTGGATTTCAGAACTCATGTGGTACAAATGATGCAATTTTCGCATTTTTGGAGAAACTATATTTGGGATTAAATAATGGTGATGTGGCAGCAGCGATTTTTTGTGATTTGGCCTTTGACTGTGTCAATCATAAAATAATGTTATGTAAGCTGGAAGCCTTTGGGGTGAGGGGGGTAGCTCTAAAGTGGTTTGAGTCCTACTTTTCTGAACGGGCACAGAGAGTTACTATTGATGGTGTTGTTTCAGAGCAACTGGCTATAAGTGCAGCGGTTCCACAAGGATCTGTTTTGGGACCTGTATTATTTTTATTGTACAGTGTGGTCATTTTATCTTGATAACATTTTTAACTGTCATAATTTCCTTATTTTCAAAGTTATTTAAATAAATGAAAAAACATACTGTAGGGTTGCTTTCTAAGTTTTAGATAGGATGGACAAAAAACAAAAGACTCTTATATTTTGACAGTTATGCGCACAGATAGCATTTTTTTAAATGGAACACCCAATAGATTTTTAGTTTGTTCGATAATATGTTTCATTCTGATTGCAACATATACAATACAATAAAATTGAATACAATTTACTTTATATTTACATGCAGAAATGTTTTATTTATTCTAACTGAAAATATTGATTACCTATACAGATTACCTGCAAAGGTAGGTGAGTAGACAGAATTTGCCATTAGAATAAATAAAACATTTCTGCGTGTAATTATGAAGTAGATTGTATTCAATTGTATTATATTGCAATCAAAATGAAACATATTATCAAACAAACTAAAAATTTACCGGGTGTTCCATTTAACAAAATGCTATTTGTGTGCATAACTGTCAAAATATATTAGTCTTTTGTTTTTTGTCCATCCTATCTAAAACTTGGAAAACAACCCTACAGTATGATTTTTTATTCATTTAAATAACTTCAAAAATAAAGAAATTATGACAGTTTGAAATGTTATCAAGATAAAATGACCACCCTGTACATCAACGATCTGTCTAGCATGTGGAAGCGGTACACATGAATAACTATAAAAAAACCGCAAATTGTGATACAAGCAAGGCATTTGGTACACGTGTACTATACACCCAAATATTCATTTTGACCCGAAGTTCCTAAAAAAATTTCCCTTAGGGAAGGAGAGGGGGCATCCATCTGACCCCCCCTCAAAACTGACACTTTTTATTAACGCAATCTCAGTAAACCAGCTCTTATTCTGTTTTAAAACATTCTGAATGACAATCAGGCATTGAAAAGAGTTAGAAGCAATCATTAAAAAATAGTTAAAACAATTAACCCCTAATTGGGGGTGGTTACCCCTAATTTTGTGAGCTCTCAAAACATATCATTAGGGTATAACATTTCCAACCAATAAAATAAATATGATGCAAATTGAAAAACCAGAAGTTTTGGGGGTGTTTGGGGGGAAAAAGGGAGGCATACTTTCTCACACTCACCCCCCTACCCCCTTCCGCCAAAACACCTACTAGCTGCGTTCGCGGATCGCGGTAAGGATTCAGAACTGGGGTCTTATTTTCGAATATTCTCGCATACGAAATTTGATACGATTTCGAATGCTCCCCATTTAATTTACATTGCTGTCAGTCAAATTTCGTGTACGAAATGTACTCGAATGGTTTCGAAAATCGCACCCGGTTCGGAACCTTTTCGCATGCGCAGTTCAAATAAAAACGGCGACAGGCTGTCGGTTCTGTTTTCTTCCTGGTTTATTATTATGCGGTGTAGATTGTTATTGTTTCAAATTAGTTTGTGTGTGTGTTCGTTTGTTGTTTTGTCATAATGATGCGTAGAAACAAGTTAGTGTTGGCGGTACCTGGACCAAATACTTCTCAGAGAGTAGACTGGCCAGTTTGCTGTATATGCCAAAGTGGAACGGGCGGGTCGTTTGTCCTGCAAATAATGTTATTGCAACTCGGAAAAATAAGAGGTATGTCTCTTTATCAGCTTATTTAGAACTATTAAGAGTGCGCTTCTCGATGCTGAAAAAATAGGTATTTCGCGTTCGCGACTATATGCTGTTTTAATAAAAACAGTTGCATCTAGGGAATTCTAACAAAAACTGTTTTTAAGAATGTACTTTTGTGCTTGCTTGACCAGTAATTTTTTTTTGATGTTTCTCATTTTTTCAAAAAAAAAATCATAAAATGAGAAAAACCAAAAAAAATTTACTGGTCAAACATGCACATAAACATATCCTTGAAAAAAGTTATCGGTTAAAATTTCCTAGATGCAACTGTTTTTATTAAAATAGCAAAGGCGCACTCGTGATTTTCGGCATCGAGAAGCGCACTCTTAAGGCCCTACGGGTATAGACTAGAATCGGGTTTAGCAGTGGACAAATTAGATGAAGGTGGCGGTGTTTTAGAAACATTTAAAGCGCGAAATAGCATAAATCGTGCTCTTTACGATATCTAAATCCCAAGTTCAACGTATTGCTGGAAAAACAGAAAAACAAACTTGTATCGGTTACCACCGAAAAACATTTAGATGATGAACCCCTTGAAAGAAGAACTAGGTCGTCAGTCCCTTTTATAAATCTGAAGGAATCACTTCACGACCACGGATTGAAAGAGTTGTGGATTTTGTTTGGCAATGGATCAAAAAAAGATACATTCCCGTCCACAACATCGCAAATAAACTGGGCAACGAAAAAGCCGTTGCTCTGCATGGTTTTCACAGTTTTACAGGGTGTGACTCAACTTGCTTTTTTACATCAAAGAGTGTGTACCCCTATATCCTTGTAAGAAAAATTGATTTGTTCTACTCGATATGTTTTAGGCAAGAGAAGTGCCTGGTCTGCTTGGAAAGACCCAGAAATTACTGCAGCTTTCAAGTGTTTGTCCTTCCCTCCCAGCATCGATAAGCTGACCGACGCACACATAAAAGCTCTGGGAAAGTTTACGATTGATATGTACGATTCACGAAGCGAAATAACCGATATCAACGAGGCCCGTCGTAACCTATTTGTCACTGGAGAGAAGTATCTCAGTGATTCCTCCTACCGCTGCTGCCCTTCTAGAGCATATAAAACGTGCTAAGTACCAAGCTGGAGAGATATGGGGACGTGCACTGTGCACTGGAGGGCTCTATATCTAGCCGACCATTCCCAGAACAATGGGGGTGGAAGAGACGAGAAGATGGTTCCCTTGAGCCAGTTTGGTCACAGTAAGACTGGATATGGGCATCAGTTAAAGAGCTGGATAGGTGCGGTTGTCGGTCTGGCTGTGACACAAATAGATGCTGCTGCAAAAAATATGCAATCCCTTGCACCCCCGTCTGCAAAGTTTGCCACGGAGACTGCATTAATAACACGTATGTAAATTATTTTATTCTAAATATTTTATTCTAATACTTTTCTTTCATTTTTAGAGAAAAAAGCAAAGATTGTCAAAAATGAAATCTCATTGCAGAAAAAAATTATAGTCATTATTAAAAATTTTCACTTACAATAACACGAGTACCTAAATTATTTTTGGAAATTTTTCGGAGCTCATACGAATATTTTGGGAATTATCCCGAATCGAAGACAAGGGATAATATTCCACTCCCTGCCTCCATAGCACCCTCCAAAGCTTTATTCTATTCCAGTTTGGTCATAACTGGGCTAAAATCTTATAACTAAAAAAAAAAAAAAAATCTAAGAAAATTAAGGTAAAAGAATGGACTGATGCGAATTGTTTAACTTTTAATGTGTCGAAGACGAATGTGTTAACATTTAAGGTTTAAAGTCAGGCCTATAGTTTATTACAGCAACGCGAGATGTCAATGCTGTCGCCCCTATAGTGTGCCCTAACTTGACTGTCAAAAAAAAATAGAAATCTTCATTTGGTTAAATTGTATGATGGAACGTTTTTTCTTTTTTTGGCGGAAATTCGAAGTATTATTCTGTTTTACATAAACAGGGTTGTAGTTTCGACCAAAGCAAATAATTTTGAACGTTCATCCATGGAATTTTTTTCTAAACAGTATAGCTACGGGCGTATTTCCAACTATTTTTGCAGTAGCGAGAAAACTACAAGTTCAAAAAATTTGAAAAAAATATATGTCGCGTAGAATTGCAATAGTAGTTCGTAATAAAAATAATGAGAAACTTCATCTATTCGTTTCCAAATAAATGGTGAAAAACTACTTTTTTTTCAGTTTTTACGATATAACTTAAAAATGGTGAGTCAAATTTACTTAAAAAAATTATGGATTAAAGTATATCGATAACCATAAAACATATATTTTTTTTGGAATTTTTGAACACAAGGTTTAGAAAATAGGGGTTGACTTTAAACCTTAAATGTGGTTTTGAGGGAATTACTTTAGGGGCAGATACTGTTGCCAGTCAAAAATCGAGTAAGTTTTTAGGAGTAAGTTTTTAGGAGTAAGTATACATAGACGATAGAATGAAATTTGAGCCTCACTTAACATATGTGATCAAAAAGGTGTCATCAGGATGTTATGCAGTCAGAGTAATATCGAGTAATAAGCTACACCTTGTCCTTGGGACAACAAAAAGTGCATACTTTGCACTTGTTGAATCCCATTTGCGGTATGGAATATGTTTCTGGGGTTTTTGTTCTTCAATATGTTGTTTGTGTTGCAAAAGAGGGCGGTGAGGTATATGTTTAAGATAATATTACGAGACTCATGTACACCATTGTTTTTGCGTCATAAATTACTTACATTTCCTGGTATTTTTTTACTAGAGACTTCATGTCTTGTTCATAAAAAGTTTAAGGAAAACATACAAGAATGGGGTAGCATACTATGTATGAAAATCAGTAAAAAAACTGCTCGACATTATTCTATAGGCTAAATGGTGATGTTATATTGGGAACCTAAATTATTTTCCAGCATAGTGTCTATAGAATTAGTCAAAGAAAAATAACCTGTATTTTGAATTTAGCGCCACAGCGGCGACCAATAGTATTCGAGCCGCTGACCACCTGGCAACGCTGCTCAAAATGCCCCAAAATGACAGCTAAGTTCAAAGACGTATGGTATTTAAAAAGCAAAATTCCAGTGTATTGCGGTTTTTACAAACCAACTGATTACATTAAATAGTACGTTACGTCGGGTATATCACTATGCAGTAGGTAAAAATCACTTGTATACTAACCCATTATCATCTGTACATATCACTCGACAAACACACAATGTTAACCTTCCTATCCTGGGTCCTATCCCTTCCTCCTCACAAACAAAAAACTCAATAATCTATCAAAGTGAAAAGATTTTTAACCATCTGCCACTGCATCTGAGACAGATAGTATCTGGTAAAAAATTTAGAGTACATCTTAAGAGGCTTCTATTATCAAAGGCCTACTACAGCACAGAAGCATTCTTCCAAGATGCTTTCTTGTGACTTTGTTTGGATATAGTTATGTAGTTTTATTTAATGACTTCTGTGTTTGTTGACTTTACATTTGTGCAATTTTGATATTTTTTATTTTATATTTTAGAATGATCATGTTTTTGTATTTATGTTGATTTATGTTTATATTTATGTTGATTTTTAAAATGACTCCATATTTTGTTTTAATGACTTTGTTTTAATGATTTTATTGTTTTAGTCTGACCTCGTATTGTATTTTATTTTTATTTTAATTATTTTATTATTTCAAGCTTGGTACTGTATGGCGCTGGAATTATTTTTGTATACTTTTTCTTTTTCCCTTTTACAGCTTTGTCAATGAGAATTTTGTTCTTAGACAATAAAGCATTTTTTGATTTGATTTGACACCAACTTTGAATTTAACCGGAAATTGAATTTAATTGGAATTTTTAATCATGGATCAAATTCAAAGTTGGTGTCAAATGATAATTTATAAAAATCTAAGGGCCATATTCTCCGTAGTTCATAAAGCCTGGCTTAGTGGAAAAATTCGGCTTTGTGACACAAAAAGCCAAGCGTTTCCACTAAGCCAGGCTTTATGAACTACAGAGAATATGGCCCTAAGACAGGAATGTAAAATCGGTTTTCCTCTAAAATTATCCGTTCAGGTTTTACAGCCTATCAAAGTTGCAAAAAGTCAATTTTCACCTGTCAATATTTCCAAAACAGTTGAACTGAGGTATAGTATAAGGTATATCCGAGGATATATCACATGAAATCTGCTCAGAATTTTACGTAGAATCCAAATATGCAATCACATACAGGGTGTTTCATTTAAAATAGCGATGTTGCCACTGGTTTAGTGTAGATTATGGTCATTTAAGCTTTAAGCTAGTTACCAAATTTTCAAAATGATCCGCTTTTTAGTTCTCCATAATATAAACGTCAAATACGCCATCCACCGTGGGACACCCTGTATAATTGATTATTATGTATTTTTATTTTTTTTTATTTATACTGATTTGAAGTCTGGCATAAAATCTTTTAAAAAGTAACCTTGCTGATATAAGAAATAGGAACCTGAGGGATTTGTTTGGAATGGAGTAGAAAAAAAATAGATAATAAAATAAACATGTAAATTGTTGTTCTTACCTAGGTTCCCCATCAATAAAAGGAATATGTGTCAGTCCCCTTCTATCTAAACTAATCCGATCCGGATGATTCTCTTTTTCGTTTTGTGTCCGTGAAACTCGTAAGATACCGTCAGGGCCTGTTTGTAGGGCGACACAATCGTATACATTTCCATCGGGGGCCTTTGATATACTGGCTGCATTTAAAGTACTATGGGATCGTACATAAAGAGAACGTCTATTGTTGAACGGTAAGGCCGGGGCAATTTTGAGTAAGTGTTTTTCTGTATTGGTTTTTGCGTTGACGACATTCGGATCTGTGCTTTTTTGTGTCAGTAATCGTACTCCCTTCTTTTTTTCCTAAATAGTTACCGATGAACATGGAATTTAGTTTCATGGAAAAGCTGATTATTTTAGTGAATATTTTACTTACGACTGTAGCAGCAGTGCTACTAGTGGGCATTTATATTCCATATAGGAATATGTAGAGTTTTTTCTTTATTTTATCATTTTTCGATTTTTCTTTAATATTTGACATTTATAACCCAAATCTGGGGGTTGATTGTTTATTGAGGTTAGGGTTGCTTAGTAACGGGTAGTGGAGTTACGGGTTCAGATCACCGATCACCCGTTTGAGCGGTGACGTCACAGACCTCTGCGAGTGTGCTCCGACTGCTCCGAGAGCAATTATGATCAAAACGAGGAGAGCATTCCGACAGTCATTTGAAATCAATAGCCGAACGTACTTTTGTTTTGATCAAACTCTTGGTTGGCTGAGTTCGGCTTTGCACTCCACGGAGCGGAACGGTATGAGCATGGTTATCGTGACGTCATACGCGGTCATAAGTCCAACGCAAAAGAGAACCCTCTGAGAGCTGTAACGAACAGGATCTTATCGTTTCGAGAGCGCTCAGAGTTTACAGACTGTAAAGCCGAACGCCGAACTCAGCCTTTGATGATCTAAGGATTTACCAATCCATTTTATAATCCTATCGGTGGGTGGATACCTGGCCGGCCAATAATCTAGATTGAGTTATTAGTCCTCATATTACAATACAATATTCAGGTAATAATTTATCGGAGAGTGAATAAACCGGGCCAGGGGCGGATGGGCCAGCAGGGATTTTGGGAAGTTTCCCGAACGGCCGCTTGCTTCCGGGCCGCGGAAGCATACAGGGTGATTCACGAACATGGAAACAGAGGCGTTTTAAGGTATTGAAAAAACGCCCGAACACGTCATTTTTGTATTCAAGGGGGAAACTTTTCAACCCCATCGGTATTTCGTTTAAGTGCACCCCCTGGGCGGGGTGACTTTCACCCCACTTTTTTCGGGAAGGTGGGGATAGTGGTACCTTGGTTTAAAGGTATTTTAATTTTCGTCACAACTGCGTGTTTTTTCACTATCAAAGTTGCCATGGGATAAATAAGAACTAATCTACTGGCTCTGTTATTCTCGAATTGACACTTTCCGACTTTCCTGACTTTCCTCTCGGACACGTCAATTTCCATTTTTTGTGTGCTCCCGAAAAAATAAAAATTGACCGTATTCCCACTATTCATTAATTTATTATCCTAAATCGAGCCACGAAATTTCCTGATCCAAGATTTAGAAAAATACATAAAATGGTTTTGAATATGAGTATTTTATATTTTTATTTCCAAATACCCCTATTCTATTCCATTCTCTTCTGAGGTGTGCGAACACCTGTACTGGAGCTCGTGCCTCCCTGAAGTTTGCATATCAGGTCCACTCCCTTAGTAAAGCCTAGTACTCATAACTGCGAAATTCGCATTTTTTTGACATTGCGTTGACAATTTGACGATTTATGCGTGTATCAAACGTCAAATTGTCGAAGCAATGTCAAAAAAATGCGAATTTCGCAGTTATGAGTACTAGGCTTAAAACAGGATGTCCCTGATATTCGCTTTCACAATTTCCTTTGGTTTTGGATAATGTGTCCCAAAGTGCCGCTGTGTTTGCCATTATGGGCGGTTACACACGGACGTGGATGTCTTAATACATATACGTGCATACATCAACGTGCAAACAATAACGTGCATGGCGCTTTAGGCGGTTACACACGGCGCGTGGATGGCTTGATACATATACGCGCATACATCAACGTGCAAACAAAAACGTGCATGACGCCTTTGTACAGACGCTCGCACAAAACTATCAGAACTGTAATCTTGCTATTCTGGCTACAGTGTTCCGAGTGTGCATACAAAATTTCTAGCGATTGCACGTTCAAAAACGCAACGGCATTTTGCATACACATTGATGTTTTTGTTTGCGCGTTCATGTATGTGCGTACATGTTTTCAGACATCCACGTCCGTGTGTAACCGCCTTTTTGTACAGACGCTCGCACAAAACTGCAGTCTTGCTATTCTTGCTACAGTGTTCCGAGTGTGCATACAAAATTGCACATTCAAAGGGGGGTTACACACGGACGTGGATGTCTTAATACATATACGTGCATACATCAACGTGCAAACAACAACGTGCATGGCGCTTTTGTACAGACGCTCGCACGAAACTTCATTCTTGCTATTCTTGCTACGGTGTTCCGGGTGTGCATACAAAATTGTACATTCAAAAACGCGACGATATTTTGCATACACATTGATGTTTTTGTTTGCACGTTCATGTATGTGCGTACATGTTTTCAGACATCAACGTCCGTGTGTAACCGCCTTATAGGCGGTTACACACGGCGCGTGGATGGCTTGATACATATACGCGCATACATCAACATGCAAACAAAAACGTGCATGACGCCTTTGTACAGACGCTCGCACAAAACTATCAGAACTGTAATCTTGCTATTCTGGCTACAGTGTTCCGAGTGTGCATACAAAATTTCTAGCGATTGCACGTTCAAAAACGCAACGGCATTTTGCATACACATTGATGTTTTTGTTTGCGCGTTCATGTATGTGCGTACATGTTTTCAGACATCCACGTCCGTGTGTAACCGCCTTAAGGTGCACACTCCGAACACCGTAGCAAGAATAGCAAGACTACAGTTTTGTGCGAGCGTCTGTACAAAGGCGTCATGCACGTTTTTTTTTTGCACGTTGATGTATGCACGTACATTTATCAAGCCATCCACGTCCGTGTGTAACCGCCTTTAAGGTTAGGACTTTGGCATCGAGACTTCTGCTAGCTTCATAAAGTGTTATGGTGTTTTCTGAAGCCTAGTACTCATAACTGCGAAATTCGCATTTTTTTGACATTGCGTTGACAATTTGACGTTTTATCCGTGTATCAAACGTCAAATTGTCGAAGCAATGTCAAAAAAATGCGAATTTCGCAGTTATGAGTATTAGGCTTGAGAGGGCAGTGTTCTGTCAACAATCCAACCACATATCTCAATTGTCTCCTGCTTAAGCTAAGCAGTTCTTCTGTTCTGCTCTTAGATGGTCCTTCCATGAAGAGTTCGGACTGACCGAGTCAGTTTTATCCAGAGTTTTTTGTGTTACCCCGATAAAATTATACCAGTAGGTTTTTAAGCTGCGTGACCTTGAAATTAAAAAAAAATTGGCTGCGGCGCGATTCATTCACAACAGCAGCCCCCAAAATAGAATACTGATCTGGCAGGCCGGGCCGGTGCTAACGGTTTCCTGGGCCGGTTTTATGCTTCCCATCGACCCCATCCGCCCCTGAACCGGGCCTAAACCAAATTTGAACGTGAGGATTTGGAATGTTTTCTCTTCTTCTGCACCATATTTGTTGTAGACGATAGTAAGTACCACCACATGATTCGTTCTGGAGTACGATGAACCGATAAAAAGTGAAAACGCTTTTTGGGGTTGCCCATAGGAATCACGTCACATGTCAGTTCTGTCATAACTTTCGTTGTCAGTTTCGACATGTCTCGATTTGTTATGTTTATGTTTTATGTTTGTTATTTCTCACCTAACATAACCATAAAAAGTTGTCTGTGCCTTCCTGACCAAAAGAAAAACAAAAATCTAAAATAAAACTCAAAAAATCAGACAAATCTCTATCATGAGTGTGCCAACAGACTTTGGACCAGATTCTGGTGGTCGTATGAAAGGTGTTTGCATAGTTAAACCGATCGTTTATGGAAACGTAGCCAGATATTTTGGAAAGAAACGGGAAGAAGATGGACACACTCACCAATGGACCGTATACGTGAAGCCCTACTATAACGAGGACATGTCTGGCTATGTAAAAAAAGTCCATTTCAAATTGCACGAAAGCTATGCTAATCCGAACAGGATTGTATTGAAGCCGCCCTACGAAATTACTGAAACCGGCTGGGGAGAGTTCGAATTGGTTATTAAAATCTATTTTCATGATCCGAACGAAAAAGCAGTAACCTTGTACCATATCTTGAAGCTATTCCATCATTCAGGAAGTACACAGGATTTGCAGGAAAAAGGGCTTGTTTCAGAAAGTTATGATGAAATTATATTCCAAGACCCCACACAACTAATGCATCATTATTTAATCAATACAAAATCATTGGGTTCAGATGATTTGGATCATGTCGCTTATTTTGAAGAAAAAAAAGAAAAAAGTTTGAAAGCTATTATGGATGCTAGTGAAAAAGTGAGGGCAGATATCAGTATTCATAAGAATAGATTAAAATTAGCGCAGGAAACTATTCAGCAGTTTAAAGACGAAATTGCTAAATTGCAAGAATCACAATCACAAACATCCCTATGAAGAACATAATTATTATAATAAAACACTACAAGAGCTTTTGGTTGTGTGTTATAAATTGTTTGTACATAATTTTGAATTATTTGCCACTAAAAAGTACAAATTTAGTTGGGAAGAAATATATGGTCTTGTAAAGCAAAAGTTTTAGGTTTAACAATTGGTTATAAAATGAATTTATTAGAGAACTTAATTCAACACATTTAATTTTTTATTTTTTATAGTTCATATACAAATCTTACACTTTACACTGTATCAAAAACAATAGTTTTGTAGTTGATTCGTGATACAAAGTATAATTCAAATAAAATCTTCGGTAGTAATATTTAAGATATTTATGTGTTTGAGTCTGCTTTCCATTTACGCTTATTATTTGAGTTTCATATATGTTTACGACTTTATCAGCTAGAGCAATTTCCTTCAAAGTAAACTAAAGGAAAAATGCTACTCGCACACCCAAAAACAACAGATCTGTCTTATCTCGTCAAGCATTTCTTTTTAATTGAATAATTTCTTCAATGAAAGCCCCTGGTTAGAAGCTACAACTACTGAAAGAGCTGTATAGTATTTTACATTATTAGCCAGGTAAAACAGTTTTTACTGGCGATTGAAGGAAATGACTAGCGAGCCACCAGGCGAGCTTGTCACCTTCAAGAGCCAGTAAAAACTGCTACCTGGCGTATAATGTACAATAATTTATTTGTTACTCATTTGTAAAAGATATAGGGACAAATAAAAAATCAATACATAACAAAAATTTGAAATTTATATGTTTTTCCTTGATTTTTTCTCACAGAAGTTTTGGTAGTTGGTATAACTATGAGAATGATATGTTGTTAAGACGTTGTTTCTAGTTATAAATAGGTTTTTTGACAGATTTCCATTTTGCAATTTTTTTCCAGAAATGAATTTATTACAAGATATTATTAATGAAGCTGCAGTCGTAGCCAACAGTTTATCACCAGAAAAGTCTCCCAGAAGGTACCTACAAGCAATTATTCTTGTGATAAAACCGATTTTTCAAAAATAAATAATTCTACTGACTTGTAAAAAGTTTTTACAGTTTAGCTGTCAATTTTACAAGTCAGTAGAGCCAGTAGCTCGTAAAAATCAATTTTCGCTGGTTATGTTTTGACTTGATAAGTGACGTTTTACAAATGAGTGACAAATAAATATAATAGCTATACTACACTGCTCTTGCTCTTACCTTGTCACAGATTAGGGATGCGTAAAACTTTGAAAACATCAATGTTGACATCAAATGATACATCGAATATGCACAATCGATGTAAAAACATCGGCTTGGAAATATCGATGTTTCTAAACATCGATGTTTTTGAAAATATGGTAGAAAAATTTAACTGTTAATAAATAGAATATCATTTTTACTTAACCTACTTATGTATTTTTAATATATACATACACGTAATAAATAAGATTTTTAATGAAGAAAAAATACATTTGAAAGCAAACAATAGCAAGAACTGAGCACAAGGGAGTAAATCTAGTTAGATACTTGACTTAAATCAAAGATAATCCTACTCCAAAGTAGTAGGATTATCTTTGCTTAAAGGGGGTGTGCGCAGAGCTGGGCAGTAGCTAGCTACCAAGTAGTTAAGCTACTAGCTTAGCTACTTTTTTGGTAGCTAATAACTTATTCAAGCTACTTTGAAAAAAAAGTAGCTTGTAGCTGTAGCTTTTGGTAATGTCTTTCAAGTATTCATAAGCTACTGTGAAAAGTAGCTAGCTACTAAAACAAGCTACTTTTGGTAGATAGTTAATAGTTATTTAGGTATGAATGGCGGAGAGTGTCATTTACCGCCCAAGGGTGTGGTTAACAATACTTAACACCCAAAATACTTATTACGTTTTATGCGCAGCGGACTCTTCTAGTTCAAAAATAAAATAACTATACCTATAATATGTATAATGGCATCCATTCGACATTGTTTTCAAAAATAAACAGTTTTCCCCTTATAAAGGTACGTTTCCACCAACCTATCGCCCGCGTTTGAATTTACCGCTCGATAAAAGTAACTTTATACTTTAATTGCTCAAGCTACAATTATCATTTTCCGGAAAATTCTTATCCTGCCTTGCTTAGACTAGTTTCTAGTTATCTCTGTAGGTACCTATGTTTTATGTGTTCTATTTTATTCTCGCGGCACAACGATATATTTAACAAAAAAAAAAAAAACAGTACAACCTTGGTAATCCGAACTAAATCAGTTCGAGTATTTTTTCCATTGGTCGGCTACTTATCCGCCGACCAGTAGAATTACAGACCGGTAAATTTATCTTGCAGATAGTCAACAGTAAGGAGTTAACCTGAAGATGGATAAACCGAGCCTTAGAAGAGAAATGTTCTCAGTTGTTTTAGAATTTTGTTCTGCCCATTTCAAACAAGTCCGGAAACATTTTACTGCTTCTTTGTGAGTCACGTTGGTCGGTACGATTTCTTCAGATTCTTCTCCGGATTCTTCTGATCTGGCTTTGAGAACATTATAACGTATTAAATTTTACGTAGCCACAACCGCGTAGAGCGGTTTCCAGTAGTTGTTGGGATTATCAAGATCAGTGGCGTAGCCAGTAGGGGGGCGACGGCCCCCCTCCCGCCCCTAAACGTGTGGCGCCCCTACCGCTCTTAAAAAACAAAAGCAAAAAATAAGAAATTATAAAATTATGCTGTTTCTCATTTATTTTATTGACCTCTTCAGCCTTTATTCTTTATCGTATGTCAGCATTGTCGGCAAATGGTTCAGTTCAATCAAAGAAAGGTGATAGTTTCTGTTTTGATGATTGGTGTAATATTTGTTTATTAAACTATGGGTTAATGGGTTGGGTGCGACTGTCATCCGTCCGGGTTTAAGTTTAAGTTAACTGCATGTCCACACATTATTTCTTGTAAGGCTTAAAATACATAAATGTTTTTCGGCGTGGCACCCGAAAAAAAAAATGTTTTCGAAGGCTTGAAATAAACTTTTGGGCGTAGCACTCTAGGAAATTTTTCGCATACTCTGGCGCCCGCGTCGGGCTGTTCGTCTTTTATGTTTTCCCCCAATAAGCACATATTACAAAAGCATACAAACATTCATTTGTTATACCCTCCCGCCCCCCCCCTCTCCCCAACGAATTATGCGCCCCTTATATGTTTGCCCCCTCCGCCCCGTAAGGCTGGCTACGCCACTGATCAAGATTTGTTCGGATTATGCCTTGAGCGTGCGCTGTTCGGATTAGCGAAGGTTCGGATTAATGCATGTTCGGATTATCAAGGTTGTACTGTACTGTACTAGGTATAACATGAACGAAATTCTTTTAAAAAAATGAAAAAAAAAAAAAACAAAACACACAACTTACTCATAGCCCATCATAAATTCTGACGCAGTGGCGTAGCGGAAATTGGCGTTTCGGATTTTTTCTCATTCAACTAATTAATTTATTTTAATAAAAATTAAATATGTTGGTGAAATGATAAGAAAATTTGCTAAATATACAATTTGCCTCAAAATCCTTCAAATTCGAATAAAAACCTTCAATCCTTCAGAAGTCAAAATTTTAGATCAAAACCCTTCATATTGAAGGAAATCCTTCAATTCTGGCAACACTGGCGTCGTCCACACTTTAAAGCGGTATATCTCAGCGATGGTTTATCGTAGAATAACGAGGTTTGAACAGATATTCTTAGATTTTTTTACACTAAAACTTTAATTTTTGGCCCCTTTAAGGGCGGGTATTATAAAACTGCTTTGAGAGTTAACTTAAAGTTAACTTCTGAAATTACATGTAATTCAAAAAGTTAACTTCAAGTTAACTGTCAAAGCAGTTTTATAATACCCGCCCTAAGGGGTCTTCGGGTCTTCAAAAAAAAACTGATCAAAGATTGCTTTGAATACGAAAACATACGTCGCATTATTGATTCTTGATTTTTGACATCACATTTTGACATTAAAGTTCATTGACAAAATTGAAGAAAAATATTGCTAAGACATACTTTTTAAAACCCATAGCAATCTTTAATTGGCTTTTTTTTGAAGACCCGATATTTGAATCACAATTATTATCCAAGAACAGTAATTTTGACAATTTTTTTCCTTTTCCATATAATTCTTGTGTTGTGTCAAAATTTGTCCTGCATTTGAAAATAGTCTCCCATGAATCGAAGCTGCTACAACGCTGAAGTATTTTGAAGCTATCTTTGATAGTTGCAGATATACACTTTTTATTTCTTCCCAATGTTCAACAAATAGATTTTCATCAAATTTTGCTAAGGGACTGAAAGTACTGGTGTAGTATTTAGAAGAAAACATCGCAAAAAAAATATCGATGCTCTCTAATAATATCGGATAAAAAAACATCGATATAAACATCGAACATCGAAATAAGAAAATCGATGTTTTTGAAACATCGATACATCGTGCGCATCCCTATCACAGATAACTTTCCTAATTTTGTTCGCCTTTTCCTATGTCTTACGATCACGATCAATCCCTTTCCTCAGAAAAAATAAACCCAAACTTTCTCATATCATTTCGTGGAAATTTGATTTTTTCCAAAATGAAATTGACAAGTATTTTGCCTCACAACTTTGTTAATTTCAATCCGTTTTCAACATAATTAAGCTCAAATTAAGGCTAATTAAACCCTCTTCAATGCAGTTTGAATAGTTTCGCAACAGCGATCGAGCAGATTTCAATGTTTCCACTTTCCTCCCCATCTTTTTCTCAAAGCAATCCGATCCGATCTTAACATAATTAGGTTCATTAGGTTACGTCTCGGGTTACCTACGAGCGTGGGGAAGTGTACTTTACCACACTTATTTGCAAATGGCTTTCCATTTGCAACCTAGCACTTTAAGATGCACACTATGCGGTGAAGTTACTTTTCCTACGAGCATGCGCAAAGTAGCACTTTTCCGCACCCATTCCCATGTTCAAAGTTATACATTTCAGCAAACATTTATACAAGCATTACGAACCCCGAATATATTCAAGGGCCCAATACTATCA